AAAGCACCCAACCACTAGCTATGGATTGATGGAAGTATAACTATAACTATAAGTTTAAATAGGACTATCCAACTCCTCCATTTAGTTCCAAACCCTTTGACCATTTAGTTCCAAACCCTTTGAGAATCATGTTTTCAATCAAATAGGATCACTCTATTTTGTTGGCTTTCTCTATATCAAATTTCAAGGTGACCCACCCATTCAAACTGCTAAGGGTATGTCCCCTTCCACAAAAGCTATTTTTGATCATCCAGGGTAGCACTTTCCTCTTTTTTTTTTCCCTAAGACCTTAGCTAATATTTTGTTATGGGAGGAAACCATGGTAATAGGTCTGTACTTGCTAGTTCTTGTGGCTTTAATTTATTTAGAGATGAGGTAAATATTAGTTTCATTAGTGCAACAGTTGATCGTTGTCAAAAAAATGCTGGAACACCTTCAACCAATCATGTTTTAAGATGTTTACAATTTTTTTCAAAACTAGCTGTCTTATAGGCCAGGAGGTTTTGAACTACTAAGCTTTGTGGCTACCCTAAATATTTCCTTTTCACCAAAGAATCTGTAACTCCCTTGTGTTGATCTACTTAAACTTGTTTTTCCCGTCAAACGACTCAGAATTGCTTCAATATAGTGCATAGTTGTGAACATGTGAATAAATTTTCAATTTAAAGATTTCAAAGCCATGAACTGCATCTTGCAAAAAGTACATTGGACTATATGAGTTGGTGCGGATTAACTTTTACTTGAAGTGCACCCACAACATATCTATTAAAACTAATTCCCGAGGTCATAAATGAATATTTTTTGTTGTTAAATGAAAAGCATTATTTGCTTAGTAACGCACTTGGGGCTAGTTAATCTAAATGTTGTTACTAGCCACTGTTAAATTCTATGTTTATCCTTGTGTCATGTCATATTTCCAGTTCTAGATATGACAAATCGGATGATATGGTTGTAGAAATCCATATTTAAAACTTAATCGGATGATTTTCATCAACACTTAAGAACATCTCTGAGTTAAAGAGGAATTATAATAAATTCCTCCTAATTTGCTAAATGTTAGTCCATTATTACAATTTTTTTAATACGATGGATAATCTACCAGCTTTCTTGCTGAAGCTAAATCTGGCATGTACTGCAGTGTCACAAGGGCTGGTATGGAATAGATTGCAGCGTTCCATCTGTTCAAGTATCTGTGAGAGAATGGCCTCAATGGCTACTACCTGCTCGGATTGACATACCTGATCGTCTGCATATCACCGAAAAAGATCTTAAACCTACAGTAAATAAAAGAAGGCCCTTGATATATGTCTATGATTTGCCTCCGGAATTCAACAGCCATCTACTTCAGGTCTGGATGAGATAAATCTTCCTTTTCTAGTCACATTTCTAAAGCAAACTTCATACATAGCATTGATTCAGTATTGCAGGGGCGTCACTGGAAGTTTGAGTGTGTTAACAGAATCTATGATGACAAGAACGCAACAATATGGACAGAGGATTTGTATGGTGCAGAGGTACTACTTCTTAACCTTTTAGGTTTACTGATGATTTAATATTGTATCAAAGCATAAGCTCATGTGTTCAAACCTTTGCAATGTCATTTCTTGCCAATTAATATTGATTTTCCACCTGTTAATTAGGTGCCATGATTCCACCTAAGGTTTTCAGTCTAAGGATTGTTTCATACTTCAGCATATCTCAGCCTAGTCATCCTGTAGGATACGTTATAACAAAGATTCTGCTTGTGCTGCTTATCTCTTTGTAGATGGCCTTCTATGAAAGCATCTTAGCTAGTCCACATCGAACATTGAATGGTGAAGAAGCAGACTTTTTCTTTGTTCCAGTTCTTGATTCGTGCATCATAACTCGGGCTGCTGATTCTCCTCATTTGAGTACGAAGGTATGTACATACACACTTATTGCAGATCTTGTAAGCATACTATATCGTCTGGTTAAAATGTCTATGTATAGCTGGAATGCTCTCCATCTTTATAAACTGCTCAAATATACTGTCCGGTCAAATTATTTAGATGGAAATGTTTGTTATCGGCCATCGTTTCTTATTTTTAATAAATATTTGATTTCTTAATGAAGCTGATGAAACAGAATACAGAGTGGACTGGGGCTACCCCAAATGGTGAATGAATCGAGACAAAAATGATAGAGTTTCTGCAGAAATATCTTCTTGTTCTTTACAATCAATAAATATGAACTGTGTTTGGTATCCTTATTAGCCAACTTAAAGGCCTATCAATGCGATCTACCTGTTCAACATTTCACATGTTATACAAAAAGGTTATTGATCAATAAATAAATACTCTGTATGTGCTATTTGATCTTACTGCTGTAGATGGTTTTGTCACAATTACTATGTAGTTTTATTCTCTTCATTAGTCTCAGCTATTTATCTAAAAATGTTTTCTTATTTTCCCTTCGGTTTAATATCTTTAACTATTATGACAAGTCAATCTTCTATTTGTTATTAAAGCAGATTTACAATTCTATCTGCCGTTAGTTACTCGTCTAGCTTTGATAAGAGACGAGAGGTGTTGACCTAAGAGATTTGTTCGTCAGTCGTGTTTATGTAGGAAACAAGAATGCAAAAGACAAATTCATGAGTCAACTACTTTAGTAATAATAATTGATTGAGCTGAGGAAAGTTAGTTTGATACCCAAATTGGATGTATTTTTCAGGACCACATGGGCTTGAGGAGCTCTCTAACACTGGATTATTACAAGAAGGCTTATGATCACATTATTGAGCAGTATCCTTACTGGAATCGCTCTTCTGGACGAGATCATATATGGGTACGTGTTCCATGAGGGTAATCATCCTTTGCATTATTAGAGGAAATTGTATCATGTGTGCTTATGGAAATTCTTTTCTTCTAATGGTAGGTCATGTATATACTACTAATACATCAAATTTATGTCTGAAGACAGTTCTTTTCGTGGGATGAAGGTGCTTGCTATGCCCCCAAGGAGATATGGAACAGCATGATGTTGGTTCACTGGGGTAACACAAACTCTAAGCATAACCATTCAACAACAGCATATTGGAGTGACACTTGGGATAAAATATCTTCTACCAGAAGAGGGAACCATCCGTGCTTTGACCCCAATAAAGATCTTGTGGTTCCTGCATGGAAACGTCCTGATGGGAGTAGAATGAGCAAGAAACTTTGGGCTAGGTGCAGTTCATGATTTTTCTAAATCATCTCTCTACGCATGCCTTTTCTCTAGATTTGTTGCTACAGTCAAAAGGTGAGTTAGTTTAAATTCTTAATACAATATTTTGCAGACCACGCGAAGATCGGAAGACGCTCTTCTTCTTCAACGGAAATCTTGGACCTGCTTACCCAAAGGGGAGACCAGAGTCCACGTAAGATATATAAAAGCTTTCTGCAATATCGGACTGATTCCTTTTGAATATGCGGAGAATTTTCCTTCCATACCCCATCAAGTTTTCTTTTAAAATTTGTGATATTAGAACAACTACAAAAAAATTATTGGTATTTAGGTAAATTTAACATTTATGTTGCTTTCATGTGAAACAAGGATATTATGGCTAGAGCTGTCAGGGATTGTATACCTTCAAATTTGCCTAAATGGCCTGATGAACAGCTTTGTTGTTTTCAGGTATAGTATGGGCATTAGACAGAAAGTAGGAGAAGAGTTCGGATCGAGCCCGAACAATGAAAGCAAACTTGGTAAACAACATGTCGACGATGTTATTGTTACCCCGTTACGTTCTGAAAATTATCATGAAGATTTAGCAAGTTCTATTTTCTGTGGTGTGATGCCTGGTGATGGTTGGAGCGGTCGTATGGAAGATAGTATTTTGCAAGGATGCATCCCTGTCATCATTCAGGTAAACTGCACCTTGATTTCTGCTAATGTGGAATCGGGCGCTTGGCTGAAAAGTGATTTTTAAATAAAAGTATTTTTCTATAAGCACTTTTTGGAAAAATTACTACTTTAGAGGGTGTTTAGTAGAGCTTCCCAAGTGACTTTGCAATATTGAAAGTGCTTTTTAAAAAATCTACCATAAATAAAAGTTATTTTAAAAAGTTTGATTAATTAATTATTATTATTATTTTTTTTTTTTGAAGAAATACTTAAGAGATGATTATCCAAAAAGTGACTTTAAAATAAATAGTAGAAAATAATATTTTTGGTTGGTTTAACCACATTGGAACCAAACTAATTTGTTATTAAAAAACACTTAAAAAATTGGTAACCAAATGTATGATTCTAAAGCATTTTTATGAAAAGTATTTTGATAAAAAGTGCTACTAAAAGGAATGTCAAACTCGACTACCACCCTTAGTCGTGTAAATGTTTTAGCTTGTCATATGTTCCAAATTGTTTTTCAGATGGTCTATATCGAAATAACTAGTATGTGTTGAATGCAGGCCCCGAACTTTAAAAAGTGGCTGGTTTTCTCCTTTTGATTAAGTTATATCTTCAGCATGTGCTTGACTTTGTCTATTTTTCTTCATCAATTCTCTCTCGCCTGTTGTCGTTGCTAGGAGAGATCTAAATGCATTGCACACTGAAATCGTTGATTAAATTTTTAATGGATCTGAGACGTAAGAATAATGAACAAATAAATGGTTGTTATCACCTAAGTTCCATTAGTTTTCAGTTAGTTTTCTTGATATAGAATCATACTATGAAAAGGAAACCGAATGAGATGACAAGAAAAGCACTACTTGGCATAATTTTGATGGTTTCTTTCTGCTAGTTTTTGTATTTTGGGTCTGAGTAATCTTCCAACAACCATGTTTTTGTGATCTTTTCTTTCCCTATTTTTCAGGATGGAATTTTCCTTCCATATGAGAATGTGCTCAACTATGAGAGTTTTGCTGTTCGCATAGGTGAAGATGATATTCCGAATATGATCAACATTCTTAGGGTAATGCTTTGCTGTATTTAACTTGTGAATGAAATCAAAACTTAACGAACAAATGTCGAATCATTTTGCTTATGGATCTTGGTTTTACAGAGATTCAACGAGTCAGAAATTGAATTCAAGCTATCAAATATACGGAAAATCTGGCAGAGATTTTTGTATCGCGAATCTGTTATGCTGGAAGCTCAGAGACAGAAAGCCGCTTACGGCTATCTGGAGGATTGGGCAGATGAATATTCTCATCTTATCGAAGACGATGCTATTGCTACAATTTTACAGGTAACAATCTTGTTAAAAGTCATGATACCAGTAGCATGCACTACAAAAATTATTCTTCTTCTGATAAATACAAAGTATAATTGTCATTCTAAGCTTTAGTACTCTACTAGAGAGATGTTGGGTGTACTATTGGCTGTAGCTTCCGGCCTTTAAAGTCAGTAGCCACCTACCTAACTAAGATATTAAAATCTCATGTATTTCCTGACAACCAAATATTGTAAAGTGAAACGGTTGTCTTATAAAATTAGTTGAGATGCGCAGTCAGTCAGTCGTAAGCTGGCGTGACACTCACACCACACACACAATTCACATTCGAGATTATATAACAAATTATTATAGCTTTACTTGTCTATATACCTAGTTCTTTCTATGCAACTCATTTGAGCTTATTTCTTGATCTTAAATTTTCCAGTGGATTATCTTGTAGCTTCCATTTTCATGGTTATGGTCTGAGATTATGTGTAGTCATGCAAGTGTCTGGAAACTTGTACTTGACATTATTTGGCTTGTCACTGTTATTTCGAGTAGGTTCTACACTACAAGTTGCATAACGATCTTTGGAGGCGGAACGTTCACTCGAAAAAGGAGTTCGGGTTACCCCAAGAGTGTCTAGTTCAAAACAACTGAAAATCTAGCCCTATATCAAATACTCAAATCTGTTGCTGCATTCATCATGGCGTTAAAGAAACGGCAAGATGTCAAGATGGCAGCTTATTTTTTTCATCCAGGCATTCCCGATCTAGAATATGACTACATGGGAGCTCGAGATGACTGCATCGTCCTCTTTGATACTGCCCGGAAGCCCAGCTCTCTTTCCTTTCTCAATTTATGATTGATTTTTGAACCAAATGTGAACCACAGAATAATATGATATGTTCCATCATTCCATTCCCCCACCAAAAGTATATTCATTAAGGATGTTTCTAGTAGCAGCAGCTTTGTTATATTTTTTTTTGGACAACTCATAGTCGAAGCTTCGCTCTCCTATACCGAGACGCCTCAAGGCCCAGGCTTAGATCAAGAATTTTCTTGTTAAGCTCGCCCAAAGGTCGAATGTGCAACCTCTGGGTAGGTGTTATTTAGGTTTGTTATATTTTTTTGTTAGTAAGAATGATCCAGAAATGTAATTGAAGTTCTTTCATACACAGTTTGAATAAACACTGTTGTCACCTTGAAAAGTAGTTGGTGAAGGACTTCTGAATATATTGTAGCAGTAATTTGAGTTAATATGGTTATAAAGCAGTCTTGAAGGTAAATGTTGATCAAGAAAGAGGAAGAAAGAGGGCATTTTAGGATTATTATGGTAACTAAAAATAAAATGAATGATGAAAACTTGTCAAAATCATTGGATTGCAAATAAATCCTTAAAAAAAAAGAAAATCAAATTTCTTTGTTGCATTGTAATGGGTTGAATTTGTAGTTTTTTGGGGAATGGTAAAATAATTATTTATTCCCTATATTTTTTAATAGATAGTTAAATAAAATATGATGCTAGTGCTCTCAAAAAGGAAAGTTAGTCCTTAAAATTTATCTTTATTTTTAATTTGATTTTTAAAATTATATTTTAATTAAAAATCAAGGTTTAATAAGCTCAAATACGATTTTTTGTCCTAAAATTTATCAAAATTTAAAAAGATCAAAATAAACCATAAAATTTTAGGTTTAAATCTGTCCGAACTTTTGAAATTTTATTTTGATATATATATTTTTTATCAGGTTCATTTTGATATCTCAACTCTCAAATTGTCAAAAAAAAAAAAAAAAGGGCATTTTGCCACTGAACTTTCAAAACATAATTGTTTAGGTATTAACCATTATTTTGACACCTAATATCTTCTATCCAATGTTCGTCGACTTTCGAAGTCATATGCTTCATCGGTTAAATAATTAACAATAAAAACTAAAGTAAACATTTCTTTAAAGTTTAGAAATTAAAATAGACAATCTATTTTGAGAATAACTTAATTAATAATATACCTATTACCTTATCTAAATTGAATGTTCAATATTTCATCCTACGACATAATTAAATTAAAAATATAGATTAAAGTAAATATTTTAAAGGCTTATAAGATAATATTGAGAGTTTAACGATTAAAAAATGTTTGGACTTAAATTTCTGAGTTTAAATACTACTTTACTTCCTATCCTATGCTTTCAGTTCTTCGTACTTTTAAAAAATAACAATTTTGATTTATTCATTATTTTAACCAGTTGAACTATGCTCAAGTTAGCGTATTAAAATTTTTTATAGTATATAAAATTTATGTTATAATTAGACAACGAAGACCATCACATTTTTAATAAAGTACAAAGACAAAAACCAAAGGTGGGAAAGTTTGTGGACTAAAATCAACCAATTTTGAAACTAATATAATATTTAAACATAGATTTTCACATGAATAGATTACGAAACTAAAAAGATTTTATTTTTAATTTTTAAATTCTTAAAAAATTTTTCATGAGCATCATTTTTGAAGGAACAAGATCGTCATCATCCGAGTGTATCATAAATTTCAGTATAGAAATTAGAAATTCATTTCTGATTCAATCGCTTTTTTCTCTCTGTAGCGACGAGAACAGCGGCAACGGCGATGGAGGGAGCCAAAACGAAGAAGAAATCAGCTCCGGTCTCTCTCCAACAATTCGTTTCCATCACCGCCCCACTTCTAGACATGGAAAAGGTCCTAATTCTATGCTTATTTGAATTCCTCATCTTCTTGGAGTGAACTTTCAGTGTAAATTTTACAATGAATGCTGAGTTGCAGATTGTTTGTGTGACTTTTTTAGCAATCAATGGCTACTCTTTTTATCTTTTGTCAGTACAGTAGTGAATATCTCGCGATTGATATAGTGGTGGTATATTTGATCGTTACAGGAGGCAGAAATATCTGCGTCTATCAGCACAGGTGCATCCAGGAACTTGGAAACTGCCCAGAAGAAGGGTTCTACTATTCTCAACTTGAAGTGTATAGATGCTTCGGTAGTTTTAAACTTCATATATTTAGAGCTTTTGATTGAAATTGAAATGCTAACCAATATGATTGTGCATTTTTTTGTTTTGATGATGGCTGTAGCGTTGTATTTCTTATAGTTTCTTCTGCCTTGAATTTCTCTGTTAGAGTGGACTCATGGGGAAAACTCTTCTTGAGTTTCAATCGAACAAGGGAGATGTTCTTCCTCCTCACAAGGTAAGAAGTAGACAGTCACCTCCGTTTACTCATGGAGCACTAGTTTTGAAAATTATTAAATCACCTGTGGAATAATATTAGTTCAATTTATGAGGCTAAAATGTGATGAATTGATATGAAATGGGAGGATATGACATTGCATAATTTTGAACTCGAAACTTCTTATTCTAATAAAGCTTGGATTGTTTGGGATATATTTTATCATTTCAATTCATTCTTCAATAATGTCCCTCACCTGTGATTCTGTGAGGTTGGACTAGAGTGTATTTAATTATTTAATCCTTCTCAACCTTCAGTGTAGTTGAAGCAATAGTTTTTCTCGAGTAGTCAAAGCATCAGGATAATGATGCTGATTTTCAGGTTTCTGTATGATTGAGGTCTATAAACAAAAATTTACTTTCTTTGTTTCTTATCTCAAAAAAAAATTGTTTTTTTCTTTCCAATTATCAAAGGTAGAAATAGCTACTTGGCTTTTAAATATAGTATTGTGTTTCACGTAGGCTACACATGATGATCAAAGAACTCCTTGCAGTATAATAAAATAGAACTTTTTAAGCGCTTATGCTTAAAAGCAAATGATTGCAAAATTTTTCATAAGTAGCAAACTAATACTCTGCTATTCGTGACACCTGCTAGTGTCATGGTCTTTCTGATTTATTTTCATTTATGTTCCCATCTATCTATTTTCCCCTCAATTACAATGGAAGGGCATTCCTGTTCCTGTAACTATTCCTCATTTTACACCCACTCTAATTGGTGGCTTATGTTACTATTGTTGCAGTTTAGCACACATGATGTGGTGGTTCTGAAACCCAACAAAGCTGATTTAGGTTCTCCTTCTCTTGGGCAAGGTGTGGTTTATCGGTTGAAGGTAAGTTTCACTTCAAATATAGGATTATTATTTTTTGTGATTGGTTTGATATGGGTGATCCCCATTTTCACCGCTGGTACTGGTAATTTAGAAGTAATATCTACAGGACTCATCAATTACTGTTGCTTTTGATGACATCCCAGAAGAGGGTTTAGCCAGTCCTCTGCGGCTGGAGAAAGTAGCAAATGAGGTCTGACCAAACAAAGCTTTTAGTACTTTATTGCTTTTATTTTTTGAACAATTTTGAACTTCAAATTATATATATATATATATAATATTGTAATTACATATCTGAGGAAGATATATTTTCTCATTTATTACTTACCTTTTTAATCCTTTTATTTTCTAAAGTAATAATCTCACGACAACAAATTGAAGAACCCAGGGAATTGTATTATAATTATTTGACTATCCACTGTAAAAGGAATTCTGATATTTACTTCTGATGCAGGTGACATATCGTAGGATGAAGGATGCCCTGATACAATTGAGCAAGGGGGTACAAAGGGGACCTGCTGCTGATCTTATTCCTGTATTATTTGGAGAGAGGCAACCATCGATGTCCAAAACTGATGTTAAATTCAAACCCTTCAACTCCAATCTTGATCACTCTCAGGTTAATGAGCTGATTATTTACATTACCTAACATGTTTACATTTTTTTTCATAGATTATTACTTTTTCAAGTTTTCTTTCTCTTCAAGTGGGTAATTTGCGGTTAATACATGCATTTGTGCTTTCTTTCTAAGAAAAATAATCTCTGACTTTGGCTGAGATCTCCCTGTTGGAATGCAAATTTGTGTTGAGCTTTTCTACCTTGTGGCTTTAGTATTACTTTTAACTAGCGAGAAGGAGACACTTTCCGTAGGGTAAGATAACAATTTATGTCCAAAGTCCATTTTCTCCCTTGAGGAGTTTACAAGAATGTACCTCAATTGGAATAATTACATAGGGAACGGGCAAAAATTTTTTGGGAAGGAGAATTGTTGCAAACCTCTAGATGACTGGGGTTTCTCACATAAGATCTTACCAAATCTACTTCATTCTTTATTTTGATCTATTGGTGAGTGTTTTTCATAATTTCCTCGACCCCTGGCTTGGGATTGACTCGTAAATGTCCTTTCCTTTTCGATATTGTTACTCTCTATGCACAATTTTCTAAATTAAAAAAGAAAGGTGGAACCTAGTCTAGGTATAGGATCTTGACTACATGCTTTTGACATCATGGGAAACTTATAATCTTGCTTCAGCATAATAAGTGTCCCTCTGCTATTCTCTTTCCATTTATGCTTACAATTGTACATATTTTACTCATTTAAGCACCTCTGTATTATATGTTTACTCCATTTATTCTCCTTTATTCAAAGAAAGATGCCATCACGAAAGCTCTATCAGCAAAAAATGTATTTCTGCTGCATGGTCCTCCTGGAACAGGAAAGACCACAACAGTGGTGGAAATTATCTTACAAGAAGTAAAGCGTGGATCAAAAATTCTTGCATGTGCTGCTTCGAATATTGCTGTCGACAACATTGTTGAGAGACTTGTTCCTCACAGGTAACAATACTGCAATTTTCTTGAGTTAATTGGTCAAATGAAAACTGTAAGTAACCTCCAATGATTGGTAACAATAAAGAGAGGAATTCTTTCACTTCTTAAGAAATTCGGGTTCAAATTAAAGCACTCAAATGTAAATACTGTAGCTTCCACTCCCCTAAAAATTGTTGGAGAAATTCCTATAGATTTGCAACTTCCTTACTCTCCCACTAAATTACGCCAAGGACAAAAGTATAGTTTGTAAAAAACTTTCCTCTTATGGGATTAAAGAGTATAGCCTAGCAGTTAATCTGTGGCTATTGCATCCTCTGATTAGCAATAAAGCTATCTCCAAAAGTCTGGAACAACTAACACAAAATACCAATGTACAAAGGATTTCTCATCTTCTCCTTTTGAAGCATTTTTTTCAGTTCATGGATGACCCGTATGCCAAACTTTGGTACATTATAAGTTGAATTTTGTAACATATTCCCTTCTTTAATATGTTCTCATAGAAATTATATGCACAATTATTGGCTGATGGAAAGGACGTTTATGATTCCCTGTTCTCTTTTACTACACAAAGTGGGCAGTTCATACATATGATCACTTATCCTATCATGCTTATGATT